AAAATAAATTTCTGTTGTTTCAGTCACCCAGTATGTGGTATTTTGTTATGGTTGCCCCAGCAAACTAATGTAGATATTATGACTCATAATGCCCCATTCTGGCCTTCCTCCTGCCAGTTGCCTCTGTAAGGACTAGGACCAAGGGGATAGGCCCAATTGGGAGGTGGGCCCATTTGGCACCTATGCCTGCCTTCTAAACCTTGCTATGTGGACCTAGACCCCGAAATTCCACTAAATGGCTGGAGTCCACTTTCAGGGCTTGAGAAACCTCTTACTTTGATCATTCCTCCTGAAGGCAGCTCTCTCCACCTGTGGGTGTACCCCAAGACCTGGGCTATAGCTATGTGGGAGGAGTGTGGGAGAACAAGAAGAGGCTGGGGATGGAAAAGAAGAAGGGTAAGCCATGTGTGGGGTAGAAGCAGATAAGAGAGATAATTTTATCAGTGCCTCTATGTAATGATGTGGAACTTTGAGGAATCTGAGAATTATAAGTTTGAACCTATCTTTCCAGATTTTGGTCGAAGTATATATTTCAAGGTAGTAGGATAGGACATTGAAAAAAAATTAAAGTTTATTTATTTTGAGGGAGAGGGGAGAGAGAGAGAGCACAAGCTGGGGAGAGGCAGAGAGAAGGGGACAGAGGATCCGAAGTGGGCTTCGTGCTGACAGCAGAGAGCAGAATGCGGTGCTTGAACTCACAAACCATGAGATTATGGCCTGAGCTGAAGTTGTACACTTATCCAACTGAGCCACCCAGGTGCCCCTGGGATAGGACATACTTTATTTACAGTTTTGTTAACTGGATGTGTCGTTTTTAAGTATTGTATGTTTTGTGGATCCCCGTTTGTATTCTTATCTGGGCTCCACAATATATTAGGGGTAGGTCTGATATCATCAATTTCTCTATTGTAATTTCCTTTTTTTCCTATATTAGAAGCAGTATATAGAAGCTGGATTTGTGGTTGACATCAATGGTATAATAAAAATTTTTATTTGATATTAGTTTATTCCAAGTTTGGGGACAGATAAGACTTTAGATACTGAAGTCAGGGTCAGGGGCAGGAAGGAATCCAGAGAAAGGAGAGAGGAGAAAAAAGAGGCCCAGTTTACATGTCCATACCTCTGGGTTTAGATTACCTTACATGAATTTTAAGTTCAGCAGTTTTGGAATATGATTGCATGAGCTCAGGTTCAAGATGGAGTTGGGAGTGTGAGAGCTTTATTGGAGGTCTAGTGAAAGGAAGAAAAATGGTGGAATGAACAAGAGCAGGTGGGCAAAACCTTCAGAAGACCCTGCTGCTCTGAGAGCAGGGAGAATGGAAGGAAAGAGGAGAGAGTAGGAAGGCCTCAGATTATGGGCAGTTCTGAGAAATCTCAGCCAGCCCTATGCTGAGCTCATGCACAGTTTACCCATAGAGGAGTCCTGAATTGGGAAGAAAGGGCAAGGCCCTAGTACTCCCACCAGGCTCAGTCATTAGTGGGGACTTCTGGGGAGAGCATGACCTCATCTCAAATGCTGCAGTGGATCCTGGAAGTGTTCCAGCTGGAGGGTATTAGCAGATAGTGCTCCTCATGGCAGGTTCTTGGAGGATCTGAGGGTTGAACTACATAGCTGCTACATTTGTTTCTTTTCTTCTGATTGCACATATAATTCATGGTTTTCATGAAAACTTTCTAAAGCCAAAATAAAAACAAAAAAATTCAGAGAAAATAAAAATGTCTCATAATCCCATCCTGTATGGGTAACCATTAATGTTTTGGTAAATGTATTTATTAAAGTTCTCCATAGGAACAGAAATAACAGTGTGTGTGTGTGTGTGTGTGTGTGTGTGTTAAATGTATGTTTGTTGTAAGGAATTGGTTCACCTGACTATGAAGGCTGAAAAGTCCCATAATCTAGCATCTGCAGTCTGGAAGCTCAGGAAAGCTGATGGTATAGTTCCAGTCCATATTCAAAGGCCTGAGAACCAGGGGAGCCAATGGTATAAACACTGTCTGAATCTGAATAAGGGAGAAGAATGATGGTCCAGCTGCTCTGGTCAGGCAGAGAGAGAATTCCCTCTTCTTCCACTTTTTTGTTCTATTTGGGTCCTCAGTGGATTGGGTGATGCCAATCCACACGGGGAGGGCAATCTGCTTTACTCAGAAAACTGATTCAGATGCTCATCCCATCCAGAAAACTCTCACAGATATACACAGAAATAATGTGCAATTTAATCTGGGCACCCCATGTTCCAGTTGGCACATAAAATTAACCATCATGGTAAATATCTTTAATTATAGGGATGCTTAAAAAATTAAATTCATATTATGTATATTATTGGCAACCAAAACTTTTTATTTAGGCTTTTCATATCTTATATGTTTCTATATGTCATTAAATATTCTTTTCCAGCATGATTTAATGATTGCACAGTATGATAATGCCATACTTTATTAACCATTTTATTTCTTATTTTTGAATATTTAGTTTTCTAGTTATTCCCTATTACTATTGTTATAACTATTAAATATTAATAGTGTTTCCCATACTGTTAACAATAATATGATGAGCATCCTAGTCCACAAAAAAATAATCTTGAAATAATTTGCAAAAATGGAATTTCTTGGTCAGAGGAAATTTTATCTTTAAGGACTTTGGCTAAATACTGCCTGAATGACTTATGGAAAGGTTGTAACCACTTTTGTTTCTCCTTGCATCATGTAAGAGCATCTATTTCCACTCATCTTAGTTCATCTGTGGTGCAGTATCTAATCATATATTATTAGCCGAGAAAAATTAAAACATCTATTTGCAAATTCAACTGGAGCCTCTTTCCGTGCTTCTTGAATTCTCTATGCCCTCTGTACTATGAAATGTGCAGTCTGAGAGGGCATTGCTCAACCCCAAGAGACTGAATATTGGCCTAATGAGTAGACTGTGCCCAGAGGCATCTGGTGGCTTGCTCAAGATTAGCCTGCTGGTTGGTGACAGCCTGGGTATCAGAACCTAGGGTTCTCAACACTTTGTCAATGTGTTTTCTTTACATGGGAAACTACTGGATAAGCATCAAGGAAAATTTGGAACTTGGACAAATTTTACTTATTGAATACAGCCTTACAGAGTATTTCTTATGTGCCAGACAACACTCCAAGTTCTTTGGAAATATTGGACTCATTTATTGTGGGTTTGGCTTTTGGCTTCATCCAGCAAAGCTGGGGATGGCAGGAAGGATTACTCAAGACTCCATGAAAGTCAAGAGTGGTGAGAGGGAGGCTAAGGGAAGTCTCTTGGAGCTGCTCTCAAGCTCCTGTATTTATTGAGCATACACTTAGGGAAACATTGCACAGTACGTTCAGTGGGCTACTGAACGTATAGAAAACGTGCAGAAAGACAAGTTAAGACAGGATAAAATATTGCATACGATTACATGGTCTAAGGAATTTATGAGCACAGGGAGGACCTAACCCCTAGATATATATTAACTAGATAAGCAAAGTGAGGCCTGCTGTTTTCAACAAGGTCAGAGAGCAGTGTTCTGCTTTGTAATGCATTCCCTGTAATTTCTTAACCCAGGACATAGCTATTTGATTTCCCACAGTTTACTCCTTCTAACAACCCTATGAGCTAGATTATTAAGACTTCTACTTTATATTTGAGAAAATAGGCACAGAGAAGTTCACTAACTTGCCCAAGATCATGTGGGGTAAACGGCAGAGCAGGAATTTGAACTGAGGCAGTGTGGCTTCGAAGATCATCCTCTGTTCTTTAAATCGCAAGATATAGAATGTCATGTTTCATCTTTTATCTGAAGATGTATACTTTGAGAATGTCCATGTGCATTGTCTATTGTTATGGCCAGAGAACCATTTTCGTTAGTTTTGTTGGAAAGGACTTATGGTATTTACATTCTACTCAGACACTGCCAAGTATTTCTTTGTTTATTGTGGATCTGCCTCCAGCTTTATGAGGGAAGGTAACTAGTCTGCTCTACTCACTGCTGGACCCCACGCACCTGACCCCAAAACCTTGAACAGGACATAATAAGTGCCCCAAAGCATTATGTGGGTGAATGAATGTTTGGGGAGACCTCTACGATGAAGCTTTGAATGGAGACTTAAATGTGAAAAGGAACTAGACATATAGGTATCTCAGGATAGAGACATCTGGAAGAGGGAAGAACAAGTGTGAACACACTGGTCAGGAACACGCTTGACATGTCTAGCAGACATGAAGAAAGCTCTGTGGCTGCAGTGCGGTGAGTAATATGGGATGAGCTCAGGGCAGGAAGTGAGGGTCCAGGGCATGTTGAGCCTCCTAGGCCAGCCACAGTAAGGTGCTTCGATTTGAATTGTAAGTGGAATGGGAAGCCTTTGTGTGGTTCCAAGCAGGAGGACCGCACCATGTGACTGGGGTCATCACATGACTTCACTGGTTCTGGTGCAGAGAAAGGATTTCCTTTCAGAGTACCCACAGCCATTTTTCGAAATTTATTTTAGTTCATTCATGTCAAGTGAAAGAATCTGCCCTCTGATTGTGTTATGATATTTCATTTATATAAAATAGAGTTCAGAATGATTTCTAAACTTATTTTAAAAGCATGAAATAAAGTTTTCCTAAGAAATTAATCCCTGGGGCACCTGGATGGCTCAGTCAGTTTAGCATCTGACTGCAGGGCAGGTCATGATCTCACAGTTCATGAGTTTGAGGCCTGTAATGGGCTTGCTGCTGTCAGCACAGAGTCTATTTTGGATTCTCTGCCCCTCCCCTGCTTGCTTGCTCTCTCTCTCAAAAATGAATAAACATTTATTAGAAAAAGAAATTAATAACCAATTCTTTTATCCCCCTTAGAAATGCTATTGATTATCAAAGCTTTACTGAGATTAGCAAATGATATTTAAAAATTTGATATCAAAGTATTTTTCCAAGTATGAAGTACTCCTCCACTTATCCATGGTTTTGCTTTCCTTGGTTTAGTTTTCCCCAGTCAACCATGGTCTGGAAGCAGATGATCTTCCTTCTGCGTCATTCACCTCACTTCATCTTATCACGTAGGCGTTTTATCTCCCATCATCACAACAAGAAGACAGGTGAGTATAGTACAGTAAGATATTTTGAGAGAGAGACCACATTCATATAACTTTCATCACAGTATAATTGTTTTGTGTTTTGTTATTGTTGTTAATCTCTTATTGTGCCTAATTTATAAATTAAACTTTGTATGGGTATGTACATATAGGAAAAAACCAGTATATATAGGATTTGGTACTGTCCTTAGTTTCATGCATCTGCTGGGGGTCTTGGAAGGTATCCCCTGTGGATAAGGGGGACTATGGTACACAGAATCAACATAAATAAAATTTAAAACATAAATAGATTGATCGCCTTCAGTATAAAGGCATTGTGTGTTAAGGCCTTTCCATTCTGGGAAAGAGAGCTACATACTTCATAAAGAAGTATATGTTTATAATCATCACCTTTCAGAATTTAACATTCCTGGAGAAAGTAAAATAAGCTTATTCAGTCTAGTTCTGTTTCTTTTTCATCACATTGTTTTACTTTCTTTTCCTGCTTTTTCCCCCTTGGTTATGTAAACTGGTATTATATAAATCATATTCTATAAATAAACATTTATTCAAATGGCATTTTGATATAAAGTGCTGATAATAAATACGCTTATTTAGTAAGGTGTTTCCATGTAATTATAGTTAATTATGTGGTCAAAAACACAATACACTGACCTGTGGTTTTATATATATATGTATTTCTTATGTTTTGCTTTTTATGGATAATTCCTGTTTGACGTATTGAATTTACTTTTGAGGGCCAATTCAAGTAATGGTTTCTTAGACTTCCCTGAGTCGCAACTTTCAGGATATTTTTGACATATTGGCAATAATACTTTTATAGAGAAGGTAATGTAAAAGTGAGGATGAAATAATACTAGCCATTAACAAAAATATGTGGAAACTATGGCCTTGTAAATCTCTTTGAGGACTGGAAAATTCTTTGAAATAAAGAAACAAACAAACAAAAAAAACAGGTTACCATATATTTAGATGTTACCAGTGAGTGAAATAGAGAAATTAATTTGAATCTTTGGGTGTCAAATTGATAGGCTGTGTCTAATTTTTTTCTAATGGATTATAAAAGGATTTTTTTTTTCCAGAAAGAGATGCTGTTTAGATTTTTCAGAAAGAAGTCTGAGAAATATGCTCTTTTGTTTTCATTTGTGCTGTGAGTTTAGAATACTGGGGGTGTAAAAGTGACCAAAGATGCCTTAGGATTTGCAAAAAATTTAATATATGTTTGACTCATAAGTCCATGGTGTGGTAAACCTATGCCCAGCTCAGAATACAATAATATTTGAGCTAATGTTCCAGTGTGTATTACACAGAACTATTTCTTTTTTTTAATGCTCTCCCTAGTGTTGCCAGGAGGAGAGAGTGGCCTAAGACAGGTGCTGCTGACAGGTTAGGTAGTGCGAAAACTGAACATTGACTCCTGGAGTTAGTAACCAGCAGGTCATTTGTAACTTGTCAAAAGCAGTTTTGGTGGAGCAGTGTGGGCACTACCTTGATTGCAGTGGATTTACTAGAGCAAAGGAAGAGTTTAATTGGAAACAGTGTGGTCAACTTGGAGGAGATGTGCTGTAAAAGAATGTAGAGAAATGCATAGTTGCTCATGGGAGAGGAGAGCACACCAGAGTTTTTTTTTTTTTAATATTTCTTTTTAAGGTAGGAGAATTACTAACATATTGTGTGTTGATAAGAATGATCTAGGATAGACAGAAAATTAGTGATATGGGAGAGAGAAGGGAGATTTTATGTATTTGAATACGCGAGAGGGGATAGGGGCCCATGCACTGCTTGTGAAAGGGGCACCAATGGTTCATGCACATTAACAGGAAGAAAGGCAGACATAAGGCTGTGGGTGCTTGTAGGCTGTAGTGGTAAAAAGGAAAGTCCGGAGATCCAACTTTCCAAAACCCTACTCCTGTAACCTATTTGGTATATATTATTCTATCTGAGACAGGATTGATGTTTTCGTACTATAACTCTGATATGCAAAGAGAATGAGAAGTATTTATTTAAAAATGACTATTCATGAGCTTCTATCAGGGTGGAGGTGGGGGGAACACCCCAAGTGCAGCCTCCGTCTGTGATCCTGCAGTCCGGTGGTCTGCACTATGCGGTCTTTTTGTATCAATTCCAAATGGATTTTTGTGTGCCTATTCCTGCCATGTTCTCATTAACTCTGCATTCCAGCTTCTGGTTCCCCATATACACTAAGTGCAGACGAGTGGGTTTTTGGAGCTCCAACTTAGGCTAAATCTTATGCCCTGGTTAGCTTTTGCCATACTATTAGGCTGAGCTGCGGAACTCACTGCAAGACTTTTCCTAGTGGAGCGGATGTGCATAATCAGTAGAATTGCATAATTTACAGCCAGTGGTCAAATGATACTGGGCAGGAGCCAGGGGTAGACCAGGGCATCACAATTTAAAAAATATCTATAGGCATTCCTTTTTTTTTAATATATGAAATTGTCAAATTGGTTTCCATACAACATCCAGTGCTCATCCCAAAAGATGCCCTCTTCAATGCTCATCACCTACCATTCCCTCCTTCCCACCCACCCCATCAACCCATCTTTAGACATTTCTAAAGTACTACTAGGATTGAGAAACACTGTCTTCAAGACCTGCAGAATCTCGAAGGCTTGCCCTCAGAACACTTTATTAATTCCTGCTGTTTTTGAGGTGACTCACACCTACATGTTTCTATGCTCCCTACTCCAAGGTGTGGCCCAAGGATGAGTGTCAACAGGGACCCAAGCACCTGACTTTTTATTTCAACCCTTTATCTCTTGGGCTGGGAGGAGAGGGATTTTTATTTACTCTTCATGGAGAAGATTCTTTTTATGTCATATTTGTGATCTGGGAGCATAAAGCTTTCATGGTTCTGCCATAATGACAGAAGTAGTAACCCCTCTACCCCGAAGATCTAAGTGTCCTGTGCATGCACACGGACACATGTGCACACACACATGCACATACACACACAGCCTAGACTCCTTTCTGGTTTCAAATATTGGCTTCATCACTACTAGTTGTGTAATCGTGGTCAAATTAACCTTTCTTAAGTTAAGCTAACAAGATAAACTCAGGAGCATTGTGAAGATTAATGTGAAAATTCAGTAAAATCTTTGAATAATGCTTGAAACCCCAGAATAGTCTCTGATGTAGTAGGTAGTGACTAAATGGTAGCAATTATTTTTACATTTGCATATAAATATACATATAGATATCTAAGGAAAGTAGATCCTAAGATTCATGCTTTCCTAAGTGAATGAGGTTCCAGCAGTGAAATGCAATGTTGGGGACCCTAACTGATTCTCCTTAGGGTCCCCTAAGGAGGGTCCCCTATGTAGGGTCCCCTATGTAGGGTCCCCTACATAGAGAGATGAGGAAAGACACATAAAATGGGAAAAGCTGAAACTAGATAGTAACGAGAACTTGCATAAAGTGGCATTTGAAAAGAAGAGGAGAAGGATGGTGTTCAAAGAGTCATTATTAGTTAGGAATTTTGTTTCACTATCTATAAGAAAAAAGCTGCATCTAGCTCAAAGTCCACAGTTTTCTCCATTGGATCTAAATGTAGCTTTAACATTCATAGGAATGTTTGACATCCTGTAAACCAAAAGGCAAGTTATCTGGCCCCAGCACATTTCAAATTATATTGGTGAGAAAAAGGAAGATAACCACAATAAAACTACTCATAACAGGGGAGAATGGGAATACATAGTAGCCTCTGCTCATAACAATGATCAAATGATATCGGGTAGGAATATTAAGAATTTACTGCCTTGGCTGATGGTTAAGGTCCTTGATTAGGCCTTCTGGGAGATCATGGTTCAGATATCTGGGAGAAGTTCTCTAATTCACTGACCTCCCTTATCCTCAGATGGATTTTAACCTTTTTCTTGAATTATACAATTAGAATATTTGATGAACATCTGTGTGTACTAGTTCAAGTATATATATGTAAAGAATTAATTCCTAGAAGTAAAAATTTTGGAAGTTAATTGTATTGAAAATTGAGTAGATATTTCTGAATTGTCCTCTAAGATAGAGTTCCTCTAAAAAAAATAAAATGGAGTTTCTGTTTTAAAGTACCTCTTCAAATAAATAAATAAAGAATTGCATAGACCCTCATCTCACATAGTTTTTGTTGCTTAAAAAGACAATGGCATCATTGTATTTAAAAATATGTAAATTTTAGTTCTCACAACAGCAATATCCTATATTTGAATAAATGTTCATATAAGCGTAGATGACTCAGTTGATTCATTATGATATAGTTGATTAATTATTAGTTGACAAATGTGACTCAGTTGATTGATAATTCTTGGTACTTTGTGGGTCTGCTGCTCATGATTTGGGAATCATGACCCTAGGCCAAGAGCTTATCTTGCTACAGGCTTATGCTTTGGCCCCCTGTACTAATTGGTACCAAATTTTGCACATGGTTGGTTCTCTGGAAATATTAGTTGATTTGTGTACCTTTTCATCATCACTATTAGTTGCTTCAAATTAGCATTTTTCTCCTCTCAAACTCACCATGAGGGAGAAATGTAGTTTCTCATAGCTTTCTCCTCACTTTCATGTCCCTAAAATTAGGCTTTTGGAGTTTTTAAGGACTTGTTTGGTTTGTTTGGCTTTGGTTGTTGACACCATCAGGAAATAAGAAGAGGGAAAAGAAAATCTTCCACTTTCTGGCTGCCTCCAGTTATTAGACACTGGGATCTGGAGTAGCAGTGGCTCTAAAGGGGCAAAGACACAGATCACTAATAGGAAGAACAGGAATGTAAGGGACTGGGGTGAGTTGTATGCCAAATTGTCATGTGAAAATATGAATAACCCACTTTGCAGTTATTCATGAGTAGTCAAAAATCTGGACTTGGGGTTCCCTCATATTAATATTGATTAAAAATAAAATATGACATGGATCGAACAAAACAAGTTTGTAAGCTATGTTTGGTTGCAGTACACAGGTTTATACCATCTGGGCAAGAGATCTTTAGGCTCAA